GAAAGCGGTTACTAGACTGTAAGAGATGGCTAGCCAATCTAGCCCATCCGCACAAGAGTACGAATGCGAAGAGGGGTAGGTGGTAAGTGCATGGAGGCACCTAGGCAAATAGTCAATTGTTTAACAAATGATTAGGTGGTAAGTGCATGGAGGCACCAAGGCAAATAGTCAATTGTTTAACCAATGATTATGTGATCACTGACGGAGGATGATCTGCGGAGTGGAGGCGCCTAGGCAAATAGTCAATTGTTTAACAAATGATTATGTGATCATTGACGGAGGATGATCACTGCTTTTCCCGAGGATTTTGGGTAACTAACTACTGTTTCAGACATCTTTGCAAAATCTGATGAAAAATTGGTTAAATTTTCAAGTGCATCGATCACCATCTTTTTCAATGACGTGGCTCTCTTAAGCAAGATTCGGGCCAACGTAAGCATCGGCTCACCGCCTAAATTGGGATCAGCAAAATCAAATAAACGAACAGTCTTCAAGTGCGCTAAGTCAAGATCCAAATCATCCCTTGCAGCAGGAGTCCATGTCCTGACAGATTCCTAGACGAATAATAACAACAATAATAAAATTACCATGGAAAAAAAAAATCAAAATTCACCTTTTCATCAACTTTTGGTAATTAATAAGCATGGTATGGGCCTTTGGATTAATTTTGGCCTAAAAGTATCTGCTCCGGTATGAATACTTGAATAATAATGGCGACGATAACGAAAATACCCTACTTGGTTGATGCATAAATTGAGAGAGCATATGCACCGAGTAAGACAAGTCAGGTCGAGTCACTGTCAGATAGATAAGACGTCCGACTAAACGACGATATCGCTCGAGATCAGACAATAGATCACCCTCAGCAAGAGGGAGATGATGATTCTGCTCTAATGGAAAATCAGCTGGCTTGCTCCCTAATAGTCCGACCTCAGCTATGATGTCAAGATCATACTTCCGTCGACAGCGAAAGGAGCCAGTAGAATTTCGGGCAACCTCGATACCCAAAAAATACTTAAGCAACCCAAGATCCTTCATGTGAAAACAACGACTCAAGTAACTCTTGAAGGCGCAATGGATGTGGTANCAGCAGAGGAACGTGCGACAGTAGGTTGTTTCTTGGTTCGCCAAGAAACAGGAGACTGACCTAGCTGAATAAACCAACCAGAAAGAGATCGCCGAGTAAGAGGGCAAGACGCCCAATCCGAATCACACCATGCATAGAGCTGAAGATCGCAGTTAGTACGAAGATGAATCCCCTGACCAGGAGAGCCTTTCAAATATCGAACCACACGTAAAGCAGAGTCCCAGTGAGCCTGACGTGGTTGGTGCATAAATTGAGAGAGCATATGGACAGAATAAGACAGCTCAGGTCGAGTCACTGCTAGGTAGATAAGGCGTCCGACTAAACGACGATATCGCTCGGGATTAGACAATAAATCACCCTCAGCAAGAGGGAGCTGATGATTCTGCTCTAATGGAAAATCAGCTGGCTTGCTTCCTAGTAGTCCGACCTCAGCAATGATGTCAAGAGCATACTTCCGCTGACAGAGAAAGAAGCCAGAAGAATTTCGGGCAACCTCGATACCCAGAAAATACTTAAGCAGCCCGAGATCCTTCATGTGAAAACAACGACTCAAGTAACTCTTGAAGGCTGAAATGGATGTGGTATCATTCCCGGAAACAATCAGATCATCAACATAGACCAGGACCTGCAGATGGACAGAACCACGATGCAGTGTAAAAAGAGAGTAATCATGATAGGACTGACANTCATTCCCGAAAACAATCAGATCATCAACATAGACCAGCGCCTGCAGATGGACAGAACCACAATGCAGTGTAAAAAGAGAGTAGTCGTGATATGACTGACTAAAACCATACTGCTTCAAAGCCGTAGACAACTTGGTAAACCAGCAGCGGGGAGCCTGCTTCAAGCCATAGAGGGAACGACGAAGACGGCAAACCTGCCCATCAACGCCAGAACGAAAACCAGAAGAAAACTTCATGTAAACCTCCTTAGCCAAATCACCATGAAGAAAAGCATTGTGAACATCCATCTGGTGAACTTGCCAATGCTTAGCAGCAGCCACAACTAAGAATAACGGGACTGTAACCATTTTGGCGACGGGAGCAAACATCTCATGATAGTCAAGACCTTTCACCTGATTATTGGCCAAAATCACCAGACGCGCTTTATAGCGCTCAACGGAATCGTCGGACTTATGCTTGATCTTAAAGACCCACTTGCACCTAATCGCACGCTTCCCAGATGGAAGAGAAACTACATCCCACGTGCCATTATTCTCCAAGGCATGAATCTCATCCTGCATAGCGGCTCGCCAGCGAGGATCGATCACAGCATCAGCAAAAGTGGGAGGCTCAGCAGCGGAGGCGACAACAGCAAAAAAATAAATTGATGAGCTGGAGAGAATGAATCACAAGAAATATAATGTGTTATGGGATAAAGCGTACCGAAGGATGGAGACGACTGGGGAGAAGCAGTGGGAGGTACAGTCGAGGGTCGGACAATATCAACCACAAAATCCTTCAACCGAGTAGAAGGAACCTTAGTCCGATGACCACGACCCAAGGGCTCCACCGGAAGAGTGGGAGGGATAGTGGGAATTCAGTCTCAAGAAACTCCACATCACGAGAGACAAAGAAAATCTGACGATCCAAATCATACAAACTCCACCCCTTTTTTCCAAAAGGGTAACCAACAAATAGACAACGACGACTCCGAATAGCAAACTTGTCACCATTACGATCTTGGTTATGAGCATAGCAAAAGCAACCAAAAACCCGCAAATGAGACAAGGAAGGAGCCGAACCATAAAGAATCTCATATGGTGTTTTACCATGTAAAACCGAGGAAGGAGTCCGATTTATTAGATAGACCGCAGTCAAAACATAATGACCCCAAAAAGGAAGAGGTAGATGAGCCTGGAAACGTAAAGCACGAGCTACATTGAGAATATGCTGATGTTTACATTCCACACGCCCATTTTGCTGAGGGGTGCCTACGCAAGAAGTCTCATGCAAAATCCCTTGACAACAAAAATAAAAGGTCAAACACATGAACTCGCTTCCATTATCACTACGAACAACACGCACTGATTTATCAAATTGTCGCTTAAGCAACTTCCGTATTATATTATATTATGTTATTTATATTTTATTTTAACTAGTGTACTTTAATCTAGTTTATTTTTTAATTTAATTTTATCATTATTAATTTTTATTTCTAAATTTATATAATTAATTTTATTTCAAGAAATAAGAAATATATAAATTTAAATAAATTTAATTTAATTTAAATCGCACTCTACTATAATAAATTTTATCTTACTTTATTTTTTTTTTCATTTAACATTATATAATTTATTTAATTATATTTTAATTATTATAAGTTTATATCTTATTAGTATAATTTATATTATCTTTTAAATTTAATTTAATTTATTCATACGTAGTTTCTATACATATTGGACGCTATTAGATTTAACATATAATCTAGATTTAAGAGTTACAATGCCTTAATGCAACCTTGAGGTCTCAAGTTCAAACCCTAGCGTCATTTTAATTTGTGCCATGTCAACAGTCATAGCAGCAGACAAAGACCATAATTTTTATCGTCGTGTCAACAATCATGTCAGCAGACAAAGACCAAAATTTCATAAAAAAAGGCCATGTCAGTAGCCATGTCAGCAAAAATGCCATGTCAGCAAAAAATCACCATGTCAGTAGCCATGTCAACAAACAAAGCCCGAATTGGACCTTGTGATTCGAATTGCCAACAATAGTCAAATGTGATGTATATGTTTGCCAAATTTAAAAGTGGTGCATATAATTGTCAAAACGTGTAAACGTGTAAGGTTGTAATATTAACGGCAATTAGGCCAAGTTAAATATAGATACATATCAAATAGTCAATTGTTTTTTTTTTTTATGAAGAAACACCCCGGTGCAAATNTGTAAATAGTCAAGACCCTAATTGGGTTGGAAAAATCAAAAGTCTACACATGTCCAAACAACAAACACAAACAAAAACAAAAATAAAAACAAAAAAGAAAAAGAAAAACTTGAACAGAGTTCACACCCGAGCTGACAAGTGCCCAGACGAACAGCAAATATATAAGGAGTAAATCGCATAAATTGAAACCATATATACTGGTACATAAATTTCCAAGAACTGGAGCTGTATAGATACCTCATGGGAATCCTCATTGAAGTCACTGCACTGTACAACAAGTGTCTCTAGGCATGGAGAACATTCTACAAGGGCTAGAATGCCTGGAATGATATCCTCATCCTTCCAAGATTAATTATCAAAAAGTCTCGCCTAGACTGTGGAAGTTGGTGGCTCTTTACCACTAGTCTCGCTAGAACCTAACAACATACATCATGCAGAAAAAAGAAGAAAAAAAAAATAAAAATAGAATATAAATCTCAGGTGGCTAACAAAGTATAACTAACTATCGGTTTCTCCAGATTTATTTTAATTTATTAAAGTAAATTAATTTATAAATTTGGAAATGAAAATTAATAATAATAAAATTAAATTCAAAATTAAACTAGATCAAAGTACACCAGTTAAAATAAAATAAAAATAATATAGTATAAGGTTATAAAGTATAAAAAATGGGAAAGTAAAATGAAAAAAATAAAATAAAATAGTAAATCAAATAACTTATTATGAAATAATAAATTAAAATAAATAGAAATCTTAAATAAATAAATAAAATAAAAAAATATTATTTGAAATCAAATAAAAAATAGAAACCAAATACTCCCTCCTATTTTCAATAGTCTTTTTGAGAAGTTGCCAGTAATTAAAAAAAAAAAAATTGTCAATAATAACTCTCATTAATGGGATAGAGATGGATGTTTTGATAAAAAGATGAAGAGTGAATATGAAAAGACGTAGTGTATTTATTAGCTAGATGAGGATAATAATCGACAAATATGTACAAAAGATCCAAAACGTCATTTATTTGGTTAATTGTTGATAAAGCCAAAATGACATTTAAAAAAAATAGAATGTAGTAATATTTTTTTTTATTATATTCATTTCAGATTTTTATTTAATTTAATTTATTAATTCATAATAATTTCTATAATNGCACATTCGTCCTTCCCAACGGCGATGTTGACATAATTCGTCCGGGCACCTTCAAGATGGCAAGCATGATGGTCAAGGGTCAGACGGTTGGTCTCGCAATTTCGGTGTTGACGAGCATCTACAAGGAGCTGAACGAGTTTACAAGCTGCATTAGTCCATCTCGATCGATTTTTCCCGTCCACTTTGTTTACGGCTGGCTGGCACTCTATTTTAAAACTCACTTCACAATTGGTCAAACACGCAAGCCCATGATGGTGACATATTCCGGTGAGAACGGCGCAAGACACTTTGAGCCTGAGGAAGCCCGCAGACGTATCCACAAGGGGGACTCCGCTTTATGGACTTGCAACATCATCATCAATGACCAGACTTCTCGATACGTCGATGATCAACGAAGACCTGGATTCGAATGGAGATACTTCATGACGATTCGGTCTAACTACCTAACGTGGCGTCAAGGCAATCGTTTTCTTATAGAGCCATATAGTCCTCATCGATTCAGTCGTCAATTTGGGTATTATCAAGATGTTCCCGGCATTTTAAAGAAAGACTTCCGTGAGGGCTCTCTTGACGACGGAATTCACTATTGGCAACTGAGCGTTCTATGCGGATCCTCATCCAAAGCTTCGTTGCCTTGTGCCTCAACAAACGCGAAGAAATCAACTCCAGCTTATAAGTCATGGTGGCATCAAGTTCATGGAGGCTATCTTGAGCGTCATATAGAGGATTTACTTGCGTCAAAGCCCAAAGTGATATCTTCGAAAGACAAGGAGCTAGTTGTTGACCAGGGTGATCCTACAAGTGAAGATGATGATGCGCTTCTCGCCAGAATTCCTGGGACCAATAAGAGAAAGAGTGGGTCCACCTCTTTAGTAGAAAGTAGCAATCCCGATCGACATTGGAAGAGAGCAAAGCGAACGACTGATTCTTCGCAACACGTGGAGAAAACAGTCGAAAATCAACATGAGACAGAGGATCTCATTGCTAAGGTTTTCCCAAGTCTATCTCTTCTTCTTTACTTCTNGAATTCCTGGGAACAGCAAGAGAAAGAGTGGGTCCACCTCTTTAGTAGAAAGTAGCAATCCCGATCGACATTGGAAGAGAACAAAGCGCACGACTGATTCTTCGCAGCACGTGGAGAAAACAGTCGAAAATCAACATGAGACAGAGGACCTCATTGCTAAGGTTTTCCCAAGTCTATATCTTCTTCTTTTACTCCTACCTCGAGTTCTCTTTCTAATGGATATACATTTTTCATTTCTGCTTTTCAGGCTCAACGGGACGTCTTTGGTTCTGACGATGACGAAGAGTCTCAAGACGATGAAGCGACTTCCGTAGCAAATGTTCCAACGTGTGCGAAGAAACTTACTGCTCAACAAAATCTTCATACTCCAGCCGCTTCAGAGTTTAAAGGGGAGAAGTTCATTCTTGACCGTCAAAAGAAGTATCTTCAAGGCATGTGGCACGACCTCCGTGACAAGGTCATGGCGACTCCTATCGATTTCTTGTCTTCCATAAAAGAAGAGGTGTCACTCGTTTTTGATGCTATGAGGCAATGCGACAAGTGTGACCTTTCCACTATTGAGATCTCATTTAAGGTTTTGTTTGACAACGCCGACTCTTATGACGGAGTACGGTCTAAATCTTCGGAGAAGGCGACGAAGGAACATATTGCTCGACAGTTGGCCGAGGCTAAAGATCGTCTTTGTGAAGATAAGGCGAAAGAAGATACTGAATCAAATCAAGTGAAGTCCACTCAGGATGAGCTAAAGCGAGTCACGGAAGAGCTTGAGCAGTTGAAGACAAAGGCAGAAACACTATCCAAGACATTGAAGCAGCAGCAGGAGTCACTCGACAGTGCCAAGGCCCAGGTGAAATTAACTCAAGAGAATATCCTCGCCATCAGCAGTGCTCCGTCGTTGGACGAAGAAGTGGTTGAACAGTTGAAGATGTTGAAGTCAAATTTGAAGGCGACTAAAGAGAAACTAGGAAGCTTGAATCTTTTTGTTTAGTGATGTTTGCGACTCTTTTGCTTATTTCTTCATGTAATAAGACTCAAGGTTATGGAATGGAATGATTCGTTTCTTTTTACATCGTGCAATCTCAATCTCGAACATTAGCATTTGTTGCACTTCATTTCCTCGCCAAATCAATCAAAATTGACTAACTTAGAAGACGAACATAATTTATGACTGAACTTAGAAAATATCTAAGCTGCCTACGTACCTTTTAAAAGGATCAAGTCAAAACGTAGTTCAAAGTAACATGGATTTGTTTAGGGGGGGTGCCGTACACAGTTTATACTCATGCGGGCCAGGAGTGACTATTATTTAACTACTTTTAGACAAAGTAGAGTATTAGGTTTAACCACATAACACCTTAGTGGAGAATTAACAGTTTAACCACATATATTCACANAACGTAGTTCAAAGTAACATGGATTTGTTTAGAGGGGGTGCCGTACACAGTTTATACTCATGCGGGCCAGGAGTGACTATTCTTTAACCACTTTAGACAAAGTAGAGTATTAAGTTTAACCACATAACACCTTAGTGCGAGAATTAACAGTTTAACCACGTATATTCACATTGGTGGAGAATTTAGCAGTTTAATCACATGTAAAGCTTTTTGGTGATTACCGTTCACAGTTTATACTCATGCGGGTCAGGAGTTCCTTCATTTTTTGTTTTTTTTTTTTTGTTTTTTTTTTTTTTTNCCAACTACCAGACCGTCTTCGGCTACTACCTTGTATGCGCCATTGGTATAAACATCTCTCACAACATATGGACCATCCCACTTTGGCATGAACTTATTCCCAACACGATGTGTCATCACAATCGGCCTTCTCACAGCAAGAACTAAATCACCAACTTGAAAGGAGCGCGATCGAACTTTTTTGTTAAATGCCTTAGAGAGACGTGCTTGGTAACATTCCAATCTTTGCTGAGCTTCCAGTCTTTTCTCATCGAGAGCCTCCAACTCCTCAAGGCGAAGACGTGCATTTTCTTCTTCCGTCAATCCTTCTTGCAATGCTATCCTCAATGATGGAATTTGCTGCTCAAGGGGAACAACTGCTTCCACGCCATAGACAAGTGCATAAGGAGTGGCTTGAGTTGGTGTTCTATAAGTGGTTCGGTATGCCCATAAAGCTTCTCCAATCCTCTCATGCCAATCTCGTTTTGATTTTGCGACCACTTTCTTCAGCAAATTACACAAAGTCTTATTGAATGCTTNTTTGTTGCTCGAGAGGAACGACAGCTTCAACACCATATACAAGTGAGTACGGGGTCGCTTGAGTGGGAGTCCGATAAGTGGTGCGATATGCCCAAAGCGCTTCATGAATTCTTTCGTGCCAATCCTTCTTTGACTTAGCTACGACCTTCTTCAAAAGACTACATAAAGTCTTATTAAATGCTTCAGCGAGTCCATTGGCCGCCGCATTGTACATAGAAGACTTTCTTTGCTTAAAGTTGAACTTCTCGCAAAGCTTATCGATCAGGCTGTTGCTGAAAGGCTTTCCATTATCCGTTATGATGTACCGTGGGATTCCATATCGATAGATGATGTTTATACGAATGAAGTCAGCAACATTTTCTTTCTTCACTTCCTTCAAGGGAACCGCTTCAGCCCATTTTGAGAAGTAGTCAGTCGCAGCCAGAATATAAAGATGACCACCCGAAGACTTTATCAGAGGACCAACCACATCTAATCCCCAAGCATCAAAAGGCCATGAAGCAACAGTAGGGTGCAACGGCTCAGGAGGTTGATGGATCAAATTTGCATGATATTGACACGCTTGACATCTTTGGGCATAATCCATACAATCTCTAACCATTGTTGGCCAGTAGTATCCCATTCTCTTAATTCGAAAGTGCAACTTCGGACCAGACTGATGAGCGCCACAGATGCCCGAGTGAGCCTCTTCAATAGCTTGAGCAGCTTCTTCGTCGCCTAGGCATCTTAAGAATACTC